CACTTGGTAAAATAAATCCGCTTGGCATCTTTCTTGGCCTTAAGACAACAATTCTGATGGCTAAAGATCCAAACGGGACACAAAACAAACAAACAAAAAAAAAAAACAGTCAAATTGCATCCCTTCCTTCTTTAAATGTAAGTTTCCAAGTAAGAAATGAATCCCTGCATGTGCACTGCTGATTCTGTTGTCCTGGCTCCATCGTTTAACTGACCATCATTAACAGAATGCTAGAGCCCCTTATTGTGTGTTTTGTTTTAGTATTGCAATGCGTTTAATTACACATTTATAACAGAGCAGAGAGGGGAAAGCCTAACATATGAAACAGGAAAAGGCCGCCATTATAATCCATTTATTTCAACAAAGTATCTATGTTTGGTCACTGTAACTAAATAAAGCTACTTTATTTTGTATTTTAAATATGTTTATTTGTAGCGTACTGGCATATACATGGTGGAAGTGGAAAGGATGTTTTTTAACATGAAAAACACAAATTTCCGTAATGTCTAAATTTCAAGAGTTAATGTTTTTAAAATGTGGAATATTAATCCTTTGCATATTTATGTTTTTTGCTGTGACTTAAATATGCTTGATAAATTAGTACCTTGTTACAATCCATATTGCAGTTCATCATGAAATGTAATGAAGCTTTGTAACTTTAAAAGAGAACTTGAAGCCACAAAGTTGTGTTTACTTCCCTGGTTTGTGGGGAAAAAGTGATTAAATGAAGGCTCAATTGTATCCTCATATTTATTCTTGGCTTATCAAGTATAAGCTTAATATAAATAATTAAAGTCAAGCATAAAAGAGCTGAGCATCACCTCTCAGCATCTTAATCATATCCTCTTCACACTTCTCAAGACACACAGTCTGACCTAAAAACAATTGGTTAGTTTTCTTTGACTTTAGTGAACAGTTTCTGCTGACAAGCCACAGCTTATTCAGTCTGTGCACTAGACAACACTGCACACAGAGTCATGCCCAGTAAACTTGTAGGTATAGGTGTATTTCACTGCTCTGTTTTAGAAAATAAAGAAATGCGACACATTTACATCAGCGGTTGACCACAGTGAGTACTTGCTGTTTAGAAGAAATGAGCTGCAGCAGCTCTTCTTTTGAACAACATTCATGCACAAGCAAAAAGAGCAGAAGCAACAACAGGCTTAATTTTAACTTCTACATAAGAGACAGAAGCGTTTGTCAGCATGTGAACTTTGTGAGTACTTATGATCAGCCCCATCTGGCAGCCAGCTATTTCTGAATATACACAAGACATTTTACACACTGACATTCACACCAAGCCCAGCAGATGATGTACAGCTTGTTCAATTGCGGTAAATGTCTTCACTTTCACTCAGATGTGATTTTGTCTTCATTTCGCTCTTTTTTTGAGACCTGAGAAATATACAAGAAGTACAGAACAAAAA